TTATATATATATAGGGTGGGAATTAGGTATTTGGTACATTCGCATTTTTCTATGGTGTATCCCGGTTGGGCAGCGTGGCGGCCACGGGTGTGTTTGTCGCGGGGGAGAAGAAGAACAAGACTAGAAGGTTAGTAGGCTGGGCGATGCGTTTTGCTGTTGTTAGTGTGTCTTGGGATGCGGCATGTTCTTTGCATTCGCTCCCCGTGTTGAGGTTACTTGCGAATGAGGTTAGAGGGGTGCAGAATTGGGGTTTTGTTGACGAGGTGCATTTCGCTCAACACCTAAGTATTAAATATAGTTAGTAAGTGAATACGTCTGTGCTCGATTGGAGTAGATGATAGTTGTTAGCAGCATGTTTGCTGCCCAGCTTTTTGGTGGTTGGAGCTGTGTGTCACTATCGGGAATGCTAGGCAGGTTTGCGTTTTGCGTTGTGCTGTGGTTGATGTTGCTCGTCCAGCTGTCGTTAGAGGCGGCAGTGAGTTAGGAGCAGTGTAGTTCGGTGGTGAATCTACGCGCCGTCGCCCGTTACCAAGGGGGTACGTGTGTGGGAGTCTCCGTAGCGTGGTCTGGAGTGGCGAAGGAGAGCATGAATGTGTTTGATATTGTCACGAGTGTCTGCAAGGCAGATGTCTATTTGTCTGTGGACGTGGGTGCCTGTAGTTGAAGCGAAGCAGTAGGTGTAGCGCCGGTAGCGCCGAGGCAGTGGAACGACGCGTCAATTGTGCTGTCTTGGTTATGGAGTGCCTGAGGAGACGGAGTGTGTTCGGGGGTGTTTGAGGTTCTCCTTAAGAAGGAAACTGTGTGTTTAGCGATACTGCTGGAATGCTACGGGTATGCGGCATTGTGCTTGCGTCTCTGCATGTAGATGATGGCAATTGGATATTGTATCGGCACGGGTGAGAGTTTGGATTTGTACTTTGTGCACTACACCAACGTTCTAAGTTGTAGCCGGGATTGTCAACGTGGCGGGAATGGGTGTGTTTGAGTGAGGAAATGCCGCGAACGATACTATAAGAATAGATGGCTGGGATGTGTGTTTTGCTAGGGTGTCTTTAGGTGTGGCATGGGTTGTGCATCCCCCCCTCGAGTTGAAGTTATTTGCGAGTGAGCTTAGACAGGTGCAGCGTTGGGGTGGTGTAGTACGATGTTACCCTTGGGGCTAGCGGGTTGCGTCTCATGCAGACCGTAGGTGGTTTATATGGTATATGATTGGGTGCAGGTGTGCGCGTTCGCAGCAAATGCTGGTTGTTGGTGGAATGTCTGTTGCCCAGATAGGTGTTGGATGATGTTGTGTAGCACTATGAGGAATGCTAGGCATGTTTGAGTTTTGTGTCGTGTTGTTGAGTAGCAGTTGTTTGTTCCAAGTGGTTGTCTCTGTTTTGATTGGTCTATCGCTTATGTTGACCGGGTTGAGGTTTGTTGGGCGGTAGTTTACTGGGGTGCTATATTGGCGTGGTGCAGGAACGGTAGGTGTAGGGCTTCCGAGTTGCAACTGGCGCGTTGCCTAGGTGTTGTGTTTGCCGTGTTGGTGAATATGTCTGTACGTGGTCGCAGTGCATGCTGGTTGCTGGGCTATTACCTTCTGCACAACTAGGTGTTCGGAGGTGGTGTGTCTCTTTGTGTGGAGTGTTAGGAACGTTGGTCGTTGGTCTGTGTATTGTGTCTCTGTGTGTGGGTGTGGGTTCTTTTATAGGAGAAAGTGCGTTGGAAGGATTGTAGTGGAAATTGTGGGTGCGCAGAAGAAGTGCTGGGAAAATAAGGAGACATGTGGAAGTGGGAGTTTGTGTTGTGGAGTGGCGAAGTGCAGCATCGGTGTGTTGGTTGATATTCTGAGTGTGTGTAGTGAGGACGTGTGGGTTTGTATGTGCGTGTAGGGATTTTGTGTCAAGGATGTGGAGCAGTTGAGGTGCGTGCAGCGGAGAGGTGACTGAGTGATGAGTATCTTCCGTTGTGTTGGGCATGACATGACATGGCAGGTCTAGTTTATTTGGTGGTGTTTGAAATTCTCTCTAAACACGAGTGGGCTTGTTGGCGATTAGCAAGGACAGCGATATATACGGAGCTGTGTGGCTGTTCCTCATTATAGTGTAATGTGTGTGTGTGTGTGTGTGTGTGTGTGTGTGTGTGTGTGTTGCGTATTTGTTATGTGTAACATGTTAGCATGTTTCACATGTGTGTGGGTTTTACACGTCTAGCAGGGTTAGGCGGTGTGGTGCGCGCCTGGGCTTTTTCCCTTTAGGGAAGGTGGAAATGTTGATTACGAGACTATATGGGTAGGAAGTGGTTTTTGGTTGGGTATGTTTTTGTGTGTCATGGGGATTCAGGTTAGTTTGGAGCGAAGCTAGAGGAGTGGTGTACTGTGTTGTTCAGCGGAAGGTATATATGTGGCTTACGAGGTATAGGCTGTGCCGATAACACGAGGTGTGTATGGGAAGCAGGTGGATGCAGCTGTGGTTGGTTGGTGTACACGGGGTTTGTTGGCGGATTGTTTGTTGGCCAGCTAGGTGTTGGAAGGGTGTGCGTTGGAGTATGCGGAATGTTGGGCAAGCTGGGGTACTCTGTTGTGTTGCTGAGCCGTGTCTAGTGGATCTGTGGGTTGTTGTACATGAGGATCTGCGTTGGAAGGAATGGAGTGGAACTGTGAGTGCGTGGAAGAGCAGGTGACAAAATGGGTGGAGATATGTGCAAGTGGGGTTTGCATGTTGTGGAATGGCCAAGTGCAGGTTGGGTGAGTTGGTTGATGTCCCGAGTGTGTGGAGTGCAGCTTTGTGGGTGTGTACGTGGGTGTGGGGGCTTTGTGTCGTGGAAGGGGGAGCCTATGCGGTGAGTGTAGCGGAGAGGTGGTTGAGTGCTAACTGAGTTTCGTTGTGTTTGGTATGGGGTGACACCTTCATCGAAGTGTTTTTCCTGGCGTTTGAATTTCGGACTAAGCCGGAGCCAGTGTGTTGTGGAGTGTAGCATGTAGCAAGGTTTAACAATACTGTGCGACTGGGCATGTGTTTGTATGATGAAGAGTGGACAAAGACACCATACAATTAGATGGGTAGGTGTTGTGTTGTGTTGGGGTATGTTTGGGTGTGACATATCCCTTGCGTTTGTTGACGGGGTTGTGTGTAGCTGCACGGAAGGGTAGTCGAGTGGTGTATTGTGTTAGTGATACCAGGGTCGATATGGGGCAACGGCGTTGAAGGTCGCATGCAGTAGGATCTGCGTATGGAGTGTGGATTGATACAGGTATGTTTGGTTGGACCAGTTCAGCGTTGTTGACGAAATGTTGGTTGCCTAGCTGGGTGTTGCTAGGATGTGTGTTGGAGAAGTGTTGGAGAAGATGGTAATTTGTGTTGTGTTGTTGAGGCATGTGTCGTGT